CACTGATCTTGGATGTCTTTGCAATCAGTGAATCACTGGGCTTGGGAACAGGATTTTCTACTGCAGATGGCAAGCATTTCACTGTGCCAGACAGCACAGGAGATGCCCAGTAACTGCTGATGTGTAGGCTTTAGAAAACTTTTTCATGAAACAAAGGCTTTAGTTTGTTTTCATCATTTAATTTACAGCAGAATTTAGTCTATTAAGAATGATTGGACAATAAACTTGTACATTGGGCTTAATAAGTGCCTGCTTTTACAATCAGATTTTATATACATATGTATATATAATGGCGTTTTATAAAGAAATCAGCTCAATAGCCTATTTTAAAAGTTTATGGTATTATTTAAGCAACAGTTATTGCAGAAACAGTGCTGAAAGTATTCATCCATGTGCATGTGATAAACAGTGGCGTAGCCAGGTGGAGGAAACAGGGGGAGCGATCACAAAAAAAGGCGCCACCAGCTGCGGCGCTTTTACTCACGTGGTGGCGCTTTTACTGACGGGGCAGCGCTCCGGGTCTTCGGCGGCACCTCAGCGGCGGGACCTTCACTCGCTCCGCGGGTCTTCAGTGGCATTTCGGCGATTGAAGGGCCCGTTGCCGAAGACCCGGAGCACCACCGGGTGAGTAAAAATTAAAAAGGTGACAAGAAACTGAAAAGATGCCACTTGTGCTCAGTGGGAGAGTGGCCGCTGCCCCACTCTCCCCCTAGCTACATTACTGGTGATAAAACAAATGGGCCAGATCTCACTCAGGGCCATATTATACTCTCCATTTTTAAGCAAACAAGTCCACAGTAAAATCCTGCCTAAAATTCAATGGGTTTAGATTACCTCCTCCCACGGAGCCTGCTCCTGCCCACACTATCCCATCAGTGGGTGGAAAAGCATGTGAGACCTATCCCAAAACCTAGCAGATTCCACGGGGATCCACATGAGATCAGAGCCATCCCTGTGGATCCCTGTGTTGCCACACTGACTCTGCATATAAGCAGCACTTCCCAGGCTACACGGTTGTATGCTTTGACCCTGTTTGTTTAAATAATATCTATTTTTGAAGATTTTTTAATACTCAAATATATTTGGTTTGTACAGAATTTGATACATAAAGAGCACCTAATATTTTAATATATATCCCAAATGAAAGGGATCAAATTATAACTATTATCTTGATCAAATTAGTTGTTTCAAGGTGGAGTCTCATTCTCATCTCAATATCCAGGGATTTACATGTGTAACTCCTGCTAATGGAAATGGTGTTTGTAGATCCCTGTGTATGAAGATGAGAGCATATACCACTAGACTATATCCTGTCTGCTCTCAGGGATTAATTGAAATGTACCATTGTATTGACTTTGAGATTCTGCCAGGGTGCTGGAACAATTTTTATCGGAAGGGTCCTAAAAGCCATTGAACCAAACTGTAAACCCTGAATATTTCAAGCCAGGACACTCCTAGTTCCGGCATCTAGTCTGCTGGGAAAATGCAGATTAATAAAGCGTAACGTCTAACCCATTTTCAATGGCAAAACAGAATGGAAATGAAAACAATGAAACACAAATAAAACCTGCAGCAGTGCTGAGATTTTGCCATCTGACTTGCAAATTCCTAATTCAAGGGTACAAAAACAGAGATACAGAAATAGTTAGGCAAAGAGGACAATACACAACAAAGATTCACTTACCATACATTGTGTGGAGACTTCCTGATTTTTCAGGATTTCCTATGCTCTCTAGACATGGTATGAAGTTAACCAGGCCCACATTTTCAGCTGTTTTCTAAACAGACTGGTATGGGTGAAAAATCTTGCATTTCTTCAAGCAAACTGAAAAACTGCACTCACAAACAAGGAGCTAGATGTGCAATTACCTCCACTTTGAGGGATGCAGCCATAAATACTGTGGGAATATTTTAGAGGAAACAAGAAGAAATACTCTATATTTCAGGTAACTCTGAAATATAAATACTTCAATATTATTCAAGTCCTGTGTATCTTACACATTACTCATTTCAGTGATGCTTCATAACAAGTTCTGTTGCTGCCATGGCATAAAAGTACAAAAATAAACTTGTACTCTTACAAGGAGCACTTTTTGTAATCTCATAAATAAGTGCACATTTCACTACAATAATCCAATCTGCACTTCATTGAAGACATTTAATAATAATAATGATTTATTTTTATAACCTCAGTGCTTTTGACTATCAGCATTGTTGGTGTTTAAATCATGTGCACAACTGATTCATGTGCACAACTCCCATTAAAATTAATAGGGATTATGCCTACACCTGAACTATGAACAGTTCCATAAAACTACTCTTTAGCAGTCCTACAATTCTAAAAGACAGCATTTGGGTTGTTTTAAAGGGAAACAAAAGACATTCACCTACACGTGGTGAAATATTCATTCCCTTTGTTTCTGCAACATTATCACATTATTTCCAACAGATTCTCAAATGGTGAACTACTGCCATGTGCACAGAGGCAGCATAAAGACTACACACAACTTAAATCCTGTTTTCAGGATGTGGATGGCGCATAGGCCTTGTGCTAGTACTTTGCACAGGTAGGGTTACCAGAATACCCAGTCGAAAAGGGACTCTGGCGGCTCCGGTCAGCTCCTCTGACCGGGTCATGAAAAGTCCAGTTGTTGGTGTAGTGGGGTGACAGGCTGCAGGCTATGCACAGGGGTGGTCACTGGGGCTCCATGCGCTGTCCCCGCCCCAAGCATCAGAATCCCAGCTCCCACTGGCCAGGAACTGCAGCGCGCAGAGCCACCTGGCCGCAGAGTCAGAGGGACATGCTGGCCACTTCCAGGAGCCGCCTGAGCTAAGCGCTGCCCTGAGCCTACACCCCACACTGGCCCTGAGCCCCTTCCTGCACCCAAACTCCCTCCTGGAGCCCGCGCCCAAATCCCGATCATCCTCCCCCACACAAACCCAACACTCCCTCCCACACTCCAACCCCCTGTCCCAGCCCTGAGCCCCCTCTCGCACTCCGAAACCCTCAGCCCCAGCCCAGAGTCCCCTTCTGCACCTCAAACCCCTGATCCCCGGCCCCACCCCAGAGCCTGCACTCCCCTGCACCTCCAGCACTCCAAACCCCTCATCCCTCGCCCCACCCCCAGAGCCCGCACCCCCAGACAGAGCCTGCACCCCCTGCCCCAGCCCAGTGAAAATGAGTGAGTGATGGTTGGGGAGAGTGAGCGATGAAGGGAGGGAGGATGGAGTGAGTAGGGGCTGGGCCTAAGAGAAGGGGTGGGGCAAGGGTTTCGGTTTTCTGCGATTAGAAACTTGGCAACCTGTATGCACAAGTTGAATTTCACCCCAGAAGTGGATTTTATTACAGAACATTTTAAGGTATGCATTTAGTTTGAAGAAAAAACACAAGGCAATCATATATATCTCATATAAGGTCCTGTAACTTGTAGCATGCAAACAGACTGGCTACAACCAGATAGAGCCCCACTGACTTCAATGTAGCTCCGCATGGACATAGCAGCCCAGCTGAGCACTACACGTTGCAGGATCAGGGCCTAAGAATTTAAGGTATTAGATAAACTAATATTAAAAGTTTTTTGGGGCAGATACCATATTTTTTGCTCAGTGTTTGTACAGTGTCTAGAACAATGGAGCCTTTAACTATGATTGGAGCATCCATGTGTTGTTTCAATACAAATAATAAATAATTACACTGATCCTAGATGAAACCTATATTTTTTCTCCCTTTTATATGAAAAAAAACAAAACAAAATGATGTTAAAAGATACTATCTCAGATTGGTTCCTTCTACCTCTGTACATAAATTTCTAACCATGTTTATATTATAAGCATCTCATTCACCTTGATTAAATATAGAAAAACACTGCACCAAGTGACAAAAACTACTCAGGCAAAACTCTCACAGATGTCAGTTGGTCTCGTTAACATAATAGAACCTTTGATCCATCTCCCATTGAAGTCAATTAGAGTTTCTTGATAAACTTCAGTGGGACATGGATTAAGACTTGAATGAGTAAATCAAACAGGATGAGGCTTGGAATGATTTTCTTGGCATATACTGTAAAATACACCAGCAACAAAAGTATCTTTATACACTGTATTAGAGTATTATCCCTATATGCAAAACAACAACTAGAATCAGATATGCAAATAGTCAATTAATTTCAACAAGTGTTGCTACTGCCTTAAAATATGAAAAGTAAACACTCTATTAACAGGCTTTACAGTTCAATCAAAATCTGAAGACACTAAAAGCCACTGAATAGGTTTAATCTATGTAAAATGCAAGTGGAGTATAGGAAGAACCTGGATCAACAACAATGTGTGCACTGAAGTTTAAACCAATACCTTTGAAACAATACAGGCAAAAAACCATTAGCAACAGGCTTAAACACTCAGGTTTGGTCTCATCCAAAATCCACTGAAGCCAATGGGATTCTTTCCATTAACTGCAATGTGCTTTGGATCAGGCTGATATCATCTTTAAATCATATTTAATGTTATTTTTCTCAAATCCATATCAATAATACTCTTTACCTACCACACAGTACATAGTGGGCTAAATTGTGGTACAAGTTTACTTGGCTTGCACAGAGAACATTTTGACATACGTTTAGTTCCATTTGTTTTAATCTGATATTTACCAAAAAGAGAATGCTAACATGAAGATTTACTTGGAGGCATATTTAAGTCATTTAAAAACCTTAAACCTAATGCTACTCCTCAGTGTTATAGGCATAGGATATCAACTTTGCTGCTTCTATTTCTTATTGGCACAGAAACTGAAGTAGATGTGCGTATAAACCAAAAGTGCTACCAAAAAAATGCTGAAAAATACTGATATAATGAACATTTTTCACATGACATATTTGACAAAGTCAATTAGTTAATATTGCAAAGAACCAACAGTTTAAATTGTTTAAATAGGCCTGCATGAACTAAGCAGACAAGCGCATACACCTCACACAAGACACAATATATAGATTTTTAAAGCTTACCATTATCATTTTTAAGATTCCCATTGCTGAGCTGTTTTAGTCTCTTCTGATGTGATTTGCCATTATAGTGGATTTGTGCTTGAGCAGCAGAGTTCAACTGAATGTTACAAACATTGCACAAAGTGAAATTGGTGTGTTTTTTCTCCTTCTCTTGCTTTTCCTCACTGTCATCAGGTGCTAATTCTGTCTCACTTTCCCTGTCTGGTACACTTGGGAAACCTGGGGTGTAAGAATGATTACCATGGGGGACATCAGGGCTCCAGGGCTTCTTCATATTTTCTAAAAAAAATAAATAAAACAAAATCATGAACGATCCACAGTATCAACACCTGGAAAGTAGAAAGAAGCGCTATTGGTTAGTTTTCATATTTTATTTTAGCTCTTAAAGTATACAGTTCCATTTCACACATTTTGCTTCCTCTTGGTGAGTCTTCCTTAAACCCCCAAGTTAAGCAAAGGCAGATATTTACACATTTTAACAGGACCTGTAAGTCTATCCCTGGAGTTAAACTGTCACTGCAAAATCCTTTTCTAATTAAGTTCTATTCTGACTTTCCAGTTATTTTGCTGTATTTGTTCATCAGCTGAACAAAAAGGGCAGAATGAACCATATGTGAATGGAACATTACTCTAGTGGTTAGGATCACACAACTAGAAACCAGGAAACCTTTTTTCTGTTCCCAGCTCTGTTAATAACTCACTGTGTTTTGGGCAAGTAACTGTACTTCCTCTCTATACCTCAGTTTCCTCCAGTGCAAAAACGTTTGTGGGTGGAAGGGGAGCAGAAAGAAAGAGAGAGAATGATGCCTACCTGACTTAATAAAGTACTCTGAGAGTACCATAGATGAGGATTAAATAATGCCAAATACAATTATAACAACTGGAGTTTAACACACCAGCGATATGTTTATTTGTGAGCTACACACAGATACAATAGTACTTCTCTTAGACAAAGCAAAGGTACAAGGCATTGCTTGCCTAGCCAAGCCCAAACCAAAGTTTTGAAACATGGCTTATTTCACCCAACTTCTTCAGCAAGGAAGAATGGGGGCAGGGGAGAGAAGTAAATCCACTTGGGTTACTGCTCAGCCCCAGTTCTTCTTAGAGATTCTTTTTCCTAACTACTAGATTCAGATCCCCAACCTCCAACTCACTTCCCTCTTATAGTGTGCTAGGAGGACTCAATTCTCCACAGTTGGTCCAGCCCTAGGATTCTGCATTAGGGACAGGTGATTATATTCCTTCTTCTTGCCAGAAGGGAAGTTAACCTTTTCCTTAGCAAGCTCTGAATGGGCTCTATAGCAGCCTAACAGTAACCTTCCCTGAGAAAGCACAATTATTTACTGTAACAGAAATACATTCACATATGAGATGGAATGTATAACCCCACTTTTCCCCAGTCATGAAGGAGTTAAGGGACAGAGTTGCTACCTCCTTAGATATGGCTAATTGGTTGACCAGTAGTAGCTGGGATAATAAGCTTCAACCCAGGCAGATCAGGGTGGTTGTCAGACAGGGTGAGGACAATCTTGCATGAGCAGCAAACTGGCAAAAAGCAGGACTTGAATTTCTCTGAGGATTGGGGCGGGACTGCTAGATTGGGGGAACCCTGCCAGTTTATGCAGGCTTCCAATCTCCTAGTCTTCACAAGCTAGAACTCCCCAGCATCCTGCTACCAAGCCTGGGTGGAATACCACATTTGGGGATAGTGAGAGCCAGTGGAAAGAAAGTTCTTAAAGGGTAAGTATACTTCTAAGGGCCCCAAGAGCATGTGAGATGGCTGAACCCCCTTGGAACATACTTACAGTTTTCTTTATGATTAAGTAACATTTTATGAGTTTTACACATCAACTACTACTATAAAAAGGCCAGTGTTAAGCTCTGTGGGGAGGATAACATATAAATATATTCCAATATTTATACAATTTTTGTGTCTGGCTACAGGGGACAAGCAATAAGTTGCTTTGTTGGTGGGAGTGCTATAAGGCAAACCCCGGAGGCCCTGTTGCAAGATTTCCATCAAAACCCATGGAAAGGCTGAAGTCTATTTCCAGTCCTTATGATCCAGTATGCTGAAGATACCAGAAGCATAAAAAATCCTGACTTTGCAAGTTGCAGACAGATCACTCTTGTATTGATCACTTTAATTACTGTACAACTCCTACTCTCTCTCTCTGCATTTGTCTGGACTGCTTTCAAGTCAAAATTTAAATTAATCATAAAATCATGAGTAAAATATCAAAAGATGATTCTGTTTTTGTTTAGATTCTGCCCATTTTCTCCTGCTCTGCTCCAAAAGAGAAATAATAAACAAGCATTACTGGCAGGGCCAGCTCCAGCGTTTTTGCCGCCCTAAGCGGTGGGGGGTGGGAGGAAAGCCACGATTGGCACTTCTACCGCCACCGCTTGATTCTTCGGTGGCAATTCAGCAGCAGGTCCTTCCCTCCGAGAGGGACTGAGGGACCCGCCGCCAAATTGCCACCACAGAGCCGGACGTGCCGCCCCTTTCTGTTGGCAGCCCCAAGCACCTGCTTGGTGCGCTGGTGCCTGGAGCTGGCCCTGATTACTGGTCTCTTATTTTTGTCTTCATGAATTATAATTTAAGGTAAGGTTAATCTATAAATCTAGACCCTGATTCTCCTCTCACACCAGGGTGAACCAAAAGTAATTCCCATGAACTCAGTGGAGAAGAAGGGAGAGGAAAGTCCGCCTCCTAGAAGCTAAAGTGAAATAAATGCAAATATGAACATTTAAAATTAAAGCAGCTAAAATTGGGTGGGCAGGAGTCAGATAAGTCAGACAAACTTATGAGTCATGCTCTATGCACACACAACAAGATTAATTCATTAGTGAAGGAATATGGTATATGAATGCAGTACCCAGTGAGGTAGAGTTTATTAGGCAAAATACCAGTTCTGCAAACGTAGTGGATATTTACAGACTTAACCAAGGCACTTTGTGCTTTAAGTGCAGTCGCATTCAGTTTTTCCAAATATGGTGCCCCTTTTGATGCCTCAATAATACAGTCAAGTCAGTCATACTAAGGAAAGTGAAAGACAGCTGCTTCTATACATGAGGGCTAGCAAAGGCCATCTTTATTTCCAGAGCCAGACTAGGTTTATGACACAGTTTGACTCCAAAAGTGAATCAAAACTAGGCTGCAGATTTTAATTTGACTACACCAGAGGTTCTCAAACTGGGAGGTGTCCCCCTCCCTCTCACTCCCCAGGAGAGGGAAGGGGGGAAACGACATGAGAAGCTTTAGGGAAAAAAACTTACTGCATACATTTTACCCACAGCAATGAATAACTATCAAAGCTGATTCCTCCAGACATCTCAGATCCTCAGATGGTGCTGTGCATTTTGACAGATTTCTTTTAAGCTTGCATAGCAGTAAACGAAGTCATTGCCATCTGTACATTAACCCGATGTGCACATTTAATTGTAAACATCGACCACAATCTCAGTTTTGCTTTTGCTCTTATTACAATGGATTGTTGACTGTGTTTGAATCAATGCCTGGCTGTTTTTAATATTTAGAGAGAGTTGCATATGTTTTTATTGGTATATGTACTTGTGTAGTGGGAGGGGGAGACAGCACGTAAAGTAGTACAGACACAAAGAAGTGAGAGTGCGATCAAATACATTTGAGAATCACTGGACTACACACAAATACTGAAAGCTGTTCTACCCAAATGGTAGACATTTCATGTGTCCAGCTACCATCTCAAGCAGTGATGGGCAACCTGCGGCCAGCAGGCTGCACGCGGCCCGTCAGGGTAATCCACTGGGAGTTGCAGGTGGCCGTGCAAATGTAAGCAAATTATCTGGCGGTCTGCCAGTGGATTACTCTGATGGGCCACGTGTGGCCCGCGGGGCACAGGTTGCCCACCACTGATCTCAAGACTTTGGCTATATCAGAACCAGAAAGTATCACTGAATTGGAACCAAAGCGTAAAGGGCAAATTGAGAGATGAACATTCCAGTCCTAAAATTTGAGAGTTTCAATCTGAGTTTCCAGATTTGATTAATCTCCAATTAATATTGGGTTCATTTATGTAAATTGAAGAATATTTACTCAAAACAGTTTGCTACAATTATGCAAAGAACAAGCACCCAAACCTGAGAGGCGCCTCAGCATTTGCTACTTTCAGTAAAGTCAGCATCTCTCAGGATCAGCTGAGTCAGTTTTATTGGCTTATTTTCTGCTTACAAATACAGTTAACTCTCTATATTGTATAGGATTTCAGAAATCTAAAAGAAGATTAAACCATTGGATCCAGGACAAACACCAAATGAAAAAAACAACAACAACATAGAAGTGAATAATTATCATTAAATAAATGTATTATACCAACAGTGATAATGGTGTCTCTTTTATGGGCCAGATCACATTCCCTTATAGGAAAACCTGTGAGAGGTAGTGAGAAAACTCAGATTCTTCTTGTGGAGTTTCCTCCAGATACTTGTTTGTGGAAGTAAGAATATCCCCAAGGGAAGAAAAAGGGATCCTCCAAAGTCTAACTCCTCTGGAATCTGCTGGAAGTACCAATCCATCATCAGAGAGTTATATTTTGTCGATCTAACACAATTTTAAATGAAGAAATTTAGCATTTAATCAAATGTCAAACAGAAGAAATAAATAATAACATACTATTAATTTCCTACTATTATTAGAAATTAATTAGATAATAACTAGTCAGAAACTCCAGTTTGTATATGTTGTACAATACCTAACATCTTTGGCATTGAAAGCATTCCCCACTAGAGTGCAGTATGATTTTAAGATTACAAACGCAGTACTGTATCTCTCTAAGCTTATAGTATTATGAGCATAGAGTTACTGTAATGTGTATGTCTTCTGGCCAATACATTCAGCTTTATAAGTAAATATTATATAGTCCATTACACATGCCTACTCAGTGAGTGTACTCCTACATGCATAATACTTTTTCTTAACTTTCACAGAAATAAGCAGACAACATAAGTAACAATAGTGTAATAAGACATCACTAATATTAGGATAAATATGACAACTTTGTATGATTTATTCTGCAGTATGGAGTGTAAGACAATCAAAATATTCTAGAAAAGGATAAAATGCAAAAGAATGTAATGCAACAAAATGCCATGTTGGAAATAAATAACTCAAGCTCCAATCATTTGATTAGTGCTTGCATTAGACACCTGTGATGGCCTTATAGTGGTAAAACACTGACTATTGCGATCTCTTTCTGAAATCTGGCACAACAAGGGTAGCATTTGCAGCAGCAGAGCAG